CACACACACACACACATACACACCACATATATATATATATATATATCGATTCTTATGGATAACATAAATGTAGATAATGTTGTACATATCTAATATTAATATGTGTCAACTAAAAAAATACATAGTAAAAATGTGAGTTGTTTTGTTAATAAGATAGATCGACGCTTACTGAAATTCTTCTGAAATAAACCAACCCTTTCTATTATAACTTTCGATTACAACTATAAAATAGATACTAGTAGTATTTATTATAATATTAGCGGACTGTTTTGTGTGACAACTCTGAACAAATTTCAGTCTGATCGGAATGCCAATAACGCGGGTAGTATATGATAAGCATGTTGCTATAAAATTCTTACACTGTTAAAAATAAAATGTTAATTTAAACTTGAAAATGTATAGTGGACTTTCTGAGATATTCAAAAATTAACATTTTTTTGTTTCAGAAAGTACACTATACGCCTTCAAGACAAAATTAACATTTTATTTTTAACAATGTAAAAAATATGTTTCTTTCTATTTTTGAAATAAATATTAAATTATCTATGCCAAAACGATTTAGCACATTGCACTCTTATATTACAATTTGCTGTCTTAGAAAGGAAATAACTAGATATATTTTTTCAATGAAAATTTCAAAAAAAGATAATGAATATTATAAATAAAAAAATTTACATTCTATCGAGATAGACTTTATCCATAATATTATAACAATCTTCTGCAAGTTTTATGTCGCGTAAAACGCAGGATTAATATGATATATCCATAAAAAGATATATTGAACGATCGGCAGACACGAGTCGCGGATACCGCAATGGCTGGGACTCGCAGGAAAAACCACATTTCGTTAAGATCGACAGATGTTATTACGTGCTCTCGAAACAGAGCACTTGAGAATAAACATCAGATGGTCGGCTCTCGCACCTCTCAGCCTGAATAACCTACAGACTGGTTACAGCTCGAATCCCTCAGAGACCGCGTGTTGTTTCCCGCGTGAGTTTACGCGCCATTGGCCACCAATCTTCGGAATGAAACTGCCGCCGTTCAGTAGATTCCCGGCAAGGCCTGTTTCACGAATGGTGCGCGAAAAAGCGAGCAAGAACGACAGGGGGAAACGTGAGCGAAGGATCCGGTCGATTGGACGGAACAACGAATGGCTCGCGCGCGAGACGGCAGCTATGATTTCTCGAACGCGTCGAATAATCACGTCTAACACACCCGACGATACGCAAGCGATACTCCGGTTCACGTATGCTCGCGCGCGAATATATTACACATTGTATTCCTCCGATAAACCGCAACGCTGTAAACGGCGATTACTGCAAGGCTGAACGCTTGCGCGCGAGCGGCAACTTGTACAACGATGTCGAGGAACGACGCATCGAGGATGTAATGGAATTGTGTGGCTGGTACAGTGTTAGACTATCGGTTCAATCTCTCTTCTCGCTCCATGCTTCCTCGCGAACCAGCAAGCGTCTTCGCCGAATCTTGTCACGTGATCTAACGTGAATACGCGGTGTAATTGCATCGAGGAGAGAACTTATCTTGAATATACTGAAACCACGACGATAGCTCGCATGGAAACGACGGGAGACTTATCGAAATTCTCATACGGTATTATTAACGTTCGCTCAACGATCAGTTACTTATGTGTCTCTAGAAACGTACCATGACGAATCGATTAGACGTCGATGACTTCTATGAATCGTTTTGCAAGAGAAATGCTTACGATAAGACCGAGCCAGCTGATTCGGTCATATACACACGGCACAAATCAAAGTACCGTTGAGTCTCATCTAGAGTTGCGAGAACTGGTTGCGCGAAGCAGAAGCTTCTCTCTCGTCCGTCGATTCCCGTCGACTTCGCCGACAATCATCGCTGGTTGCTCCCAGCGTTTAATCATGTTACATCAGTGCGACACTCTGACAATCCTATCAAAGTAACGAGGTGCGCAGGTCGGGACATACGTACGGCGTGGGATTCAAAGTTTCATCGCGATCGATCATCCCTGATTACTCCTCCATACACGACCGCGCGCGCGTATGCCGCCGACTATCGACAAACCATGTACTTAAGTTCTTACATACGAGAGCCCGGCTTCGGGCGTAGATCAAAGGAAATAGCGTACATTAAAAGTGATCAAGCATTTACTGTCATATGCTAAACTTTGATCGTCACATTTGATACGCATCATGTAACCAAAGTTTCTATTATATTATATAACGTACTATTTCTCGCGATCAAAATTTCAAACTGACCATTTATACCTGTTACAATCCTGTAGCAAGTATAAATAATGGAAGGTTTAAAAAGTAACTTGAAAGATTTAGTGATTGCATATAATTGTAAAGTAATTAATGAACGTATTTTCAGAGAAAAACTAATAAAAGATTAACGAACAATAAATAAAAATCAATTTATAAATGTATACGATCATCTGTCTAATCCTTGAGCTTATCAATTGTTTTAATCTATTTAGTTAATCTGTCATGATTCGATTCGCAACATGAGAATCATAGTGACGTAAAAAATAAATATTATCTCGAATAGTCTATATAATGTCACAGAAATCACCTAAAAATTATCAAAATGATTGTCAATTACTGAAAATTACTAAAATATGAGATTAAATATTCAATATACAATATTATTCAATATACAATATACAATATTAAACATTGTAAACTGGAATAATCAACTAGTCTCTCGCATGGCGATTCTCAATAATATTATATATTTCCAGAACAGAAGAATTATGGAAAAATAGTTGAAGAAAGTCAATGTGACAACGGTGAGAGAAGAGTAAAAGAGCAACAAACTTTAGACAGTGGGGTTAAAAAGACGGATCGCCTTTCAAAATATACATAGATATTATGCATGAACAGGAGTAACGATCCGCGGTAAAGTTCATGAAGCAATTCGGTCCTGACTGACTTTTTGTGCATTGCCATTAGCTTTACGATCGCGCCAACGTAGCAGATTTACATGAGCTGCACGGTAATAGATCGCGAGGGAAGAAGGTGACGATAAATTTCATATTCTACAGCCGGTAGATTCACGGGCTGTCTCGCCAACGGAACAGACCTGTAATTTAATGCATGTTTTGCGAGACATCCCTTTATGCACTTCCTGGGACACGTCCGTACAGCCAATCAGGTTTTCAGAGAGACGAGAGACGAGCGCGTCTCATTACTGCAGTTGTTAGACCATTTGTTCCATCTTAATGTAACTTCTTTTTATACTTCGCGCAATACAGTATGAAAGCTTGATTGAGTACATAGGTACGTTTATGGTCTAACACCCGGTTGATTAAAAGAGCAAATTATTGCAAATAGATATAAAAAATACATGTGGCGTTTCAATGTGCTGTTTTCAATTTTTTTAAATTATTTTCTGTGAAATTATTAATTCCAAAAAACAATTATAAGCCAAAATTAGACTAATAAAAATAAATCAATTAATAGAAATAATCCTATTTTCGGTCAAAGCGAATCATACTTAATATTCCAAATTAGATCGTTCATTTTAATATTAATGCTAACAAGCATCTTAAAAATCTGTAAATAATTTATTACGAAAAACATTCTGGCGAAGATAATAGTTTTCACAATAAATTATTACAAGTTCTTAAGATGCTTTCTACCATCATTATAATATTAAAATCGACAACTCAACTCTATTTTGAGATATTAATTTCAGCTTCAGTTTGCGACTACGCTTCAAAGCCAACAAGCCACGCAGTTTTATAAAACTGAAATAATATATTTGCGAAGAATTGCATTTAGTGTTATTAACACTAAGATTCACTTTAACCAAATAGGATTCTTTCTATTAATTGATTAATTTAAAGAACATAAAAATTATTTATAAAAAAAAATTTTTTTAATTAGTCAAAGCTTTTTTTGTGGACATTGTTATTTTATAAATGTAATTTTCCATAAATATAAATAATAAATAATTATCTTCTTTATATTTTTTATCTAACTTGTCAATAATCTGATAAGAGTACTTGAAAATAAAAAATATATTTGTAAAAAAAAAAATAGACACGTCAGCAGTGGTCCATGACATTTTATTTATGACTTTTCGCGTAATTTCGAACTACACTACCTATATTCGTAATCTGCGGAATTTAAAAAAAAAAATTTGCAAACTCAGCGTTGTCAGATGAATTTTCGATATTTCGTTCGAGTATCGGACGCGGAACGTCCTATCTCTTTGTGAGAGGGATGGAACCGCTATATTCGGCTTTTCATGAGTATTCATAGAACCGTGGTATAATTACGAGTCAATACATTTGAATAATAATCGAAACTCGGGAATTTGAAGCCTTTTAAACAGTTATCGATATTAACTTAGATGAAACGAAACAAGCGATATATTTATTTTGCACAATAAACGAAATAAAAGAATAACATAATACTATAATATAATACTTAAAAATTTCTTTTTCCTAATAAATGATTTCTACGTTTACTATATCACTTATTATTCTTTGACATATTCAGCAAATACTAAAAATACGTCTCTTTTATCCGCTAAATATCACAAACGCGATCGTTGTATTTTATATTTGAATTCCTTCGCATTTTATAGAAATTTTTTTATAAATTTCTACTTAAAAGTTTTCTGCAAATATTCTGATAAAAATGCAGAAGTCAATTTCATTGTTAGGCCGCAATCAATTTTTATAATATTGGACTTGTCCTTTCTTTCGTTCATCACGCAAACGTTCATCTTTTTATGTATGCGGCAATTATGTAACAGAAGAATTATGTAACTGAAGAGTCACAAGACAAAACGAGATCCTACGGTTCAATTGAACATCGTAATTTTATATCATGACGTTATTCGAACGTTATACATTTACGCAAAAATAAAAAAGACCATGTCATATCATAAGGATATGAATCTTATAAATTAGATATCCTTTAGTTATTTAAGTTTTTGGAAGTGCGTTAAAAGCACATATAGATAAAACAATGGATGCAAAAACTTACCTTTAGGCGAAGATCACTGACGGTCCAAACGCGGCTCGCATAATCGTTGGATGCTCCAAGAATAAGAGTGCCTGTTGAATCAAAGTCCACCGACATCACACCGGCATTACTGCCAACGAGGATACCCTTGTTTTCCGATGTATCTGCAACAGAATATTCACGGACATGTCATCATACTGCTACATAACGATGTTTGAATTTAATTCTTCGCATTTACGTGCCCACATCAATTACTTTGTTCCTATTGCACGACCGTTTCATTCTATATCTGCCTCTCTTTCTCCTCTTGGTCTATACCGCGCGTTAGTCTCTGAATATGACTAATTAAATTTATGCCCTGACGGCTTAATTGGTAGCGAGCAAACCGCGCTGCAATCCAAAGGGAGCAAGTTATAAGCATCTCAAAGCAGGCAGAGAGAGAGAGAGAGAGAGAGAGAGAGAGAGAGAGAGAGAGAGTGTGTGTGTGTGTGTGTGTGTGTGTGAGAGAGAGAGAGAGAGAAAATGTAAAGATAGAAGCAGAGGAGAGCAATGAAGAAGCGCAGAACAAAGCCGAGAAATGGAGAATGCGTGTAGATCTAGAATAACAGACCTCGAGCTAAGCGGACCCGCACAATAAGGACGAATGTTTCATCTAATTTGTAAGAGGAGACGGAGAGAGAGGATTACATTCGAGAGCGTTATAGCATGTACGATCGCAGCTATGTTACAATACAATGAAACGATTTCGAAGTGATGGGGCAGCTTTTACTATACGTTGCAAAAGTGAACTATAACGACGCGCAAAGTAACCTGTTGATTCGTTAATATACTTCATTAAGTGGATCGCAGAGAATTTCTCAAGAAAAAGTGATATCGCGGCCATCCGTGAAAGAAGAGACGCGGCGAGATGCCGACGGAAATTAGGTTCCAAATAGAACATTGGAAGAGCAAAAAAAGTCTTTTACCTTTGATCAATAAATAAATAGCATCATCCTCAAATAATATCATCCTCTTGCTTCAAAAGAAATATAGCTCAAAGATTATGTTTCTCAGGAAAAGGAAAAACTAATTTAATAAAAAATTTGACTAATCAAATAATGTCTGTAGAAAGAATATATTCTTAAAATGATCAAATATCATTTTTAATATTTCACAATCCTTAAAAACCATCCTTTTTTAGTTATAATGATTTTTAAAAACTCTTTTCAAATTGATAAGCTTTTGACAATTTTTATAAAATTAATTAATAATAGAGTAATGTTAACTTCATTTATTTACTCATTCATAATAATTAAAAAATCAGATTTTTTAGCTGTATATTTTAGCTTTTGAATAAAGGAACAATATGTAATGTATATTAATACCTTTGTCCGTCAGATATGTCAAACATATATATCACATAAATCCATCAGAGAAAAGATCATGAGAATTTAATTACATATCAGTCTTTCAGAAATCACTTTCGTCATTATTCGAAATAGTCGAGTTTATAAGCAAAAAAACCTTAATTCAAACGGAACCTTAATGGATATATTACATGTACCGGATGTTAATAAACGACAAAATTGTGACGAGAACCTGCATAATGCAGATGAACGAATTTGCTTTGAAAAGCAAATCTAAGGAGCTCTGTACAATCAAAGGAATAAGGAACAAAGAATAGAGAACGAGATTAAGATTCGATTAAGTATTTTAAATAAAGTAAAAATTACGAAAGTAAATTCAATAGATAATTAATCAATAAAATTATAAATATTCTAGAAAATTCGCTTTTATAATTTTCACCTCGTTTAAAATACACAATCGATCCCCTGTTTTTTATTCTGTTTTCTCTTCTTTTTATTATGCTCTATCACTTAAAATCCGTATCACGCTACGCATTGGAGATTGAGGATTGCGAATTACAGATTAGAATTCTACCAGTCAAATAATTTTAATTTTGAACTTTTTTTGATTAGCTGAATTTTAAAGCTCATTCTACAATTGTATAACCATTAAAATGATTAAGATTGTAAGAATTGATCAATTACAGTCAAATATGAGGATATTTGATTGTGAGTGGCCAATTCTTACAACTACAATCAGCCATTATCAGACTAGGATTGAAATTGAGACTGAAATTTAACCAATCAGAAGAAAAAACCTAATCTCAAGTTTAGTGAATTTTGCTTTGAGTGGTTAAATTTCAATTCAATTTTAATCTCTAGTTTGATTACGGCTTTACAATTGTAGACTGGGCTTTATCTTCAATTCGCAATCCTCAATCTCCAATAAAGTGTGACATGAATTTAAGTTATTTTGCCAATCGTAATGGAAATCTCTAGATATTAAGAAACCCTCTCTACTCTTTATACTTCTAGATGCTTTTCATTTAATAAATCGACATAAACATTATTATCTTTCTTGGCATTTAATAATAACAAAGGTAAAACGATATTTGCATCGACTTTGTGTCACCAAATAAAAAAACATCTTTTCTTTCCCATTATTAAGTTTGTTCGTGTCTATGCTCCAGCATGCTCCAACATGCTCCAACTCATTAGAGTGAATAGAAGCTATGGTAGGACATATTGAAGCATATTGAAATATACGAACAAATTATCTATTGTTTCTGCTTTTCGCTTTCTTTCTTTTTCTAAGTATACTAAAGAAAAAGTTGTTTATTTGACTAAATTAATTTAATACGTCTTGATTTGTTTCAATAAAGAATGTATGTATATAAAAAAAATATAAGTATTCCATATTATATTTGATTTAGACTCGATTGCACCAACATTACTTTGACTTTAAGCAAGACTTAAAACTCTCTCTGTCTCGTTTTAAAGCGAAAGAGAGACAGAGATGAAAATTTTAAGCCTCGCTTAAGATCAAAGTAACGTTGGTCGGGCTTTAAATACATACAACTAACTAAAGAAATAAAGACAAAGATAAAGAATTAAATTAATTAATTTAGTCGAAGAAATAATTCTTTTCAATGCAAGATTCAGTGCAAGATCTTCCGACATTATCTTGTTTGCTAAAATAATATTGTCGCATATAAACTGTAGATAATTAGATCATACTCACACAACACAATTGTCCAAAAAATATCTTAAGAATGTCCTTCAAAGAATTGTGTTAAGTGAATAAATTACATAATTGCGCTATTATGGCCCCTATTTTATAACAATAATAATGGCTGTGTTCGCTTTAACACTTACAGCTTGTGAACATCATTTATCCTTAATATTTAATAAATAAAAATGAAATGAAACTTAAAGCGTTGTGAGCGCCAAAGTGAACACAGCCGATATCATTACATTGTCGCGCATTAAATTGTTACGCAGGTCTCATGGTGTAAAAAAAGCAGCGAAACGACAATATGGCGATCGTTACTGTTCAGAAAGTTGTTAAGAGTTACAGAATTACGAGAATAGAGTCAATATACCTGAGGTCTATATTTGGTGCAAGTACGCAGCGAATTGCGTTCTCGTAAATTCGCGAACATTTTCGTCTTCTGTTCGTAAAAATTGATCCAATTCGATAGAATTGTCCATTCTTAATGACCATATGAAGAAAGATGCATCAGAGGTTCATAATTGCGAACGCGGGAATAAGAAAAAGGAGGAAAATGTAGAAAATGTCTCGCGAAGGCATCGTTTGAATGAGCGCGAAGGAATACTCGCCATGTTTACTAAATGCCGCCACGCTGCCGTGTCATCGCGCGCCGGCGGGAATTTGAATAATAAAACGGTAGATAAATTCTTGGCGGGACGTCATCCCACCATTCACAATGCTCAAACGCGATTGTTATGCATTCAGAATGTCGTTTATTTGCGTGAATGCTCCGACTAATCGTAATCTTTTCTCCACACGCATTTTAAACATCTTAAATTGTGACTTATACTCTTCTCACCGCGATGATCGGCAATGTTCGCGACAATCCTTCAACGAGTTTTTCTATTTATAATTTTGATCTTAGTATGTTTCGTTTCGGTTGATCTCTAATTTCTCCGATTTGCATATAAAATATTAAAGTCTTGTGTCCACGATGCTAGAAATCGATTCGAGATCTCGTACAGAATTAACAAATCACATTTGATACGAGATATCAGAACAATTTTTAGTCGTGGACACAAGACTTTAATATTTTATATGCAAATCGGAGAAATTAGAGATCAACCGAAACGAAACATACTAAGATCAAAATTACATAATTGGTTGAATTCTCAAATGAATGCTTTATTTGAAGGAAGTTATAAAATTCTTTAATTAAATAGATAAATTTAATTAAATAAAATTTTCAAAACATGCACGCTTAATTATTACGCTAAATACACGCTAAAGTTTCATAAAAATAGATAAAATATTATTTTTCTTCTTACATTCAAAATTTAGAATGATTAATATTAAAAAATTACAATAATAAATCATTCATCATTTTAGTATTAAATCACTTCTTATTTAATTATTAAATATAATAAATAACATCATTCCCTTATTTTAAAAGACGCAATTAAAAAAAATGTGATTTTCAAGTTATTACCATGAGTTAAGTAAAGATTACCTTATCAATCATCAAAAGTGAATTAACTTAATTTCAAAAAAACTGTTACAACTCAAAAAGAATAGTTTTAAAGAAAATGTCACAACACAAAAAGGATAATTTTTAAGGATTGTAAAATGAAAATGACAAAAATGACATTTGACTATGTTAAGAATATATTTTCTTTGCCAATATTATTTTATACTATATTAATAAATAATTTTTTGTTAGAATAAAAAAGAGAGAGAGAGTTTTCTCCTTTTTTGACAAATATGATTTTTTCAGTTGTTATTTTTAAAGCAGGAGAGCGACATGTGACAGCACAAAAAAAGGAATTTCTAGAGAATAATTCTTAATTTCAATCTGAATTAGATTTCAACTTTTTTAAAAAGATGAATAAATTTTATTATTATTGAAATTTTAATATTATTGAAAAAATATATCATAATTATTCTGTTATTTACCTTTATTAATGCTCCAAAGCTTCACCTTCCTGTCAGTACCTCCAGTAGCCAATATTCTATCAGTAGGCGACCATTTAACAGCGAATACTTCCCCCTCATGGGCACTCTGTAAGATTTATAAGCACTTATATAAGATTGCTAGACATCTTTCCATGCATTTAATTTATTGCATAAATATTACAACAAAGATTTGATCGCATGAATATCACAAGATATAAATTAAAAATATCCAACAGTATATCAATTATACATTACTTGTAATTATTAAAAATATCTCGTTTTTATATTCACACACAAACAATTTCATTAACTAATAATTAAAACGTGATAATATCTGATTATTAAATTAAAAATAGCAAACACAATGATTTTACCTTATATGCTAAAAAAAAATTTTTAGCAGGAAGCGAATATTTTACAAATATAAAAAGAAATTCAATACTTATTATAAATTTTCTTTAAATTACACTTTAAACATTACTATAAAGCATTTTAAACATATAATATATTATAAATAAAACAAAATAAATGACAAAACTTTTTTGTTCAAACCTTGTTAGTGAACTGTTTTGTAATAAAGCTTGCAAAATATATCCCGTTAATTTATACAATTAATGCCTCTTCTATTTTTCAAATTTAACAGTTTACGAAAGCAATAATTATTTAGTATACAGTATATTCTGTATACCATACTGCATGCATATTGTATATCAAAATATATGATCCAAAGAAAAAAATAAATTATAAAAATTGTAATATATTTTTTAAGAATATAAAGAACCATACATAATTATAAAATAAAACATTATTAAATAAAAAAAAATACTAAATCATATTTATGAAAGCTAATAATTAAGACGAGGAAGATGGAAAGAATAAGACTCAGGATTTGGAGATTATTGAATGACTTAATAAAAGCATCTCGTGATATTTTAAAAATACTTGTACTTAATCTAATTTCGATAAAAATTATAATATTATGCACTTTCAATCACATACATATTACAGTCCGCGAATATTGCTTTTCGTAAATATATCCAAAGACAATGCTGCTCTGGTATTACATCTTAAGCCAAATATGTGTGTGTGCGTGCGTGCGTGCGTGCGTGCGTGCGTGCGTGCGTGCGTGCGTGTGTATGTGTGTGTGTGTGTATATGTGTGTGTACTATCCAAACTAAAAATCTATAGCTCATGTAATGTATACTATAGATTTATAATATTGGCAGTATATATTTAAATACGGCCTTAATACAGTGTAGTAATGTATGTGTTATGATAATGAATATTATCAAGTAAAAAACATACAACTCATAATAATATAGATAAACAGAAAAATAATTTTAATACATGTACTTAATTCTTTATTATTATATATTAATATAACTGTACAAATAAAATGACGTACTCTTATTTCAGCACGTCTCAGTGATTACTAAATAAATTAATAGATTATTTATCAATTGATAGAAGAGTACATTCATTTTTCAAAATTCTACATAAAAGTGTTCTTCTGTTGTTGAGAAAAGAAATTAGTCATTTTTTAATTTAATTAAATATAATGTTAAATAAATTAACTAAAGAACATGGTTGATATGTTGAATACACATTGCAAAGTATGTATAATACACAGCCGTTCATGTAACGTCACAACCACAGCATGTAATTTACACCACTTTTTAAGATGTAACTGGCTGTAAAAGAGAAACAAATAACCTAATATTTAAGAAAGATCATGTATTAAAAAATAAATCTAGAAAGAAATATTTGTCTATTTGTTTTGTGTAATTAAAGTAAAAATAAAGACATGTGAAAAATTGAACAATATAATTTAATATAAAATTTTAATATAAAATATAAAATATATATTCAATATAAATCCATTCGTAATACACAAAGCATGCACACCGTGTTTTAATGTTATTAAATATATAGGAATGTCAGATACGGATTGGTGTTAATGCTTTTACGATGAGATAGCACAATATATTTTAGATTAAACGTACAAACGTTACGGATACTTTCGTTGGCACTGCTGTCGGAAGACCAGCAACTTCTTTTAAGCTTAAACGATCCGGACTAACAGGTCGCGTATCTCGGGCTGCATCTTCCAATTCCTTTTGCATCTTTGCTTGTCTCTTCCTGTAGTGTAATGAGAAATATACATTAAGTATATGTAATATTTAATAAGCATTCAACAAAGTTGCAAAGCAACTTAAGCGTAACAACGGTGATACGGTTGCGCTTTCTTTCACACCATTGCTTTAATGTAAAAAGATTATATTCGTTATTTAAACGAACATGTCTCAATGCATTTTTGTTTTTTTAATATGTGTTTTTCATTCTTCTTACATATCTATAAAATAATTTAAAATAATAGTATTGTTACAGAATGTTCATTTCACTGAAAAAAATCTCAATATTTTTATGAAAACATTACAGGAAAAAATGCATATTTAAATTTAGATTGAAAAATCTTATTATCTTTTCAAGTTTGTTTTCTATGATTACGAGTGTTATGAAATAATTTTTATTATATCTTTTTCATCTTTCATTTGATGCACGAATAATTACAGATAAGAGTTTATATCGTAACATATACAATATTTCATTTTTTTTGTACGACAATATAAACATATTATATACATGCTACATAATTAATGTTACCAACAGATAAAGTACATAAATCATGAGATACAAAGTGCAATATAGTCTGTAGCTTTAAGTTACCATCCCAAAGCTATAATTTAGCATAAGCGGAATGTTCACTGCAATTCATCAAACTTACCCAAATTTTGATAAGGTATGCATCAAAAAGGTTGTTGGGCTCGTAAAACTGAAACGAAAATGTCAAGCAGTGTGAAGTGCTTGTGTAAAGCCCTAGAGTGACTGAATATTGTGTATATTCTGGAAAGCTCAAATAGTGAAATGAGTATCATATTGGCTCATAAAAATATTATTAATATGAAACCTATTCCTAATATAAATGTATAAATTTAATTGTATGCTCAAAAAATTTTGTGTTGAATTTTCCTATAATATAAATTAATTTTTTTAATTAAATGAAGATTTATTATAGAATATATTTATTACAGAATATAGAATGCATATCACAATAATAAATATATAATTCATATGTATAAAATTTAAAATTTATAACATGCATTTTAAATGTTTTTAATTAATAACAATCTGAATTATATAAAAACAAACTTGAAAAGATTTATACATAGTGAAGTTTGGATCTTAAACTGAAATAAGTTAAACAAATATATTTTAAAATTGAATAAGATTGTATGTACTCTGACAGAAGTAATAACATCCACTTAGTAAAAAAAGTAAAAATTCTATAGGAAAATAGTGTCGAAGAAAGATAAAGATTTTAGATAGAAGATTATGTTGCAGATAAACTAAACACCCTTTTATGCAAAACTGTACTACAATACATAAACATATATACAAATACATAAAAATTAAATTAACTAAAGTGCAGAAAAATAGAATAATCTTTAAAAGCTGGGTAATTAAGCAAAAATACATTTACTATACTACAAGTACGAGAGTATAAACTAGCGCAAAATAATTAACATGCAGAATAGTTTTTATATTGCATACAAAGATAGCCAAGAAATAAAAATACAATCAAAATAATAGCGAAAATAAATACTGCACTACTCTTAATTTTACAGAAACAATTCTAACTACAAAAATATTAGCGTAATATGCTAAATTTTAATGCAAATCAGAATTAATTAATTTATACTTTTCGCAAATTATATTATTAATAATACGAAAAAGCAATATAAACGATTTTTGTTTCTAAATTCACAATATAATAAATACTTAATATATGTACATTTACCTTAAAAAGTTATCATTTTCTTCATTCATCTTTTCCGCATCTCTGGCTTTATATTTTATTAAACGCTCGATCAGCTGTCGATTTTCTTCCTATAAATTGAAAAATAAATATTATTTCAAATAAATATTATATAGTAAATAGGTGATATAAGTAAATATCAATATCTACAAGAAGTAATCTCCTTTCCATTACCAATGTACAAAAAAAATATGAGTATATAAATTTCTAACAAAGAACAAAATGTTACATAACCTACCTGTGTTTTTCTAAGCTTTTCTTCTAAAGATGCAAAAGCAAGTTGCAAGGCTTGGTGTTCATCTTTGAGCATCTGATTAATGCCTTCTAAATCTTTCTCTCTAGCAAGACATTTAGTTATTTCTAAACGTAAGTTAGTATTAGCTTCCGAACTTTCTGCAAGACTGAAAAACACAAATGGATTAGAAAATCTTATAAATTCATGAAAATTAATTTATAAATTTATAAATTAATTAATAAATAATACATAATTATGGATAAAGATTATGATCATAAATTACCTAACTTCCTTTCCATGAAGTTCTTTTGTCATTTCCTGCAATTTATTATTGAGATCTACTATTTGTTGCGTATGTTCTCCTTTCCTTTTATGCAGCATTGCCAATTCTTCCGCTTGCTTTAAGAGTCTAGCTTCGAGATCGGGATTTCCACCCATGCCAATACCACCATTGGCTGCTTCGCGACGAAGAGTCTCATTTGCAATTGTCAATTGCATATTTGAATTTCGCAATGTATTTGCATTTTCAAATAATCTATTGTCTGCAAAATATAACAGAAATGTAGTCAAATCAATTTACACACTAAAACCAAAGTAAACGACTTCAAGCTAGCAGAACAAACGCAGCTAACAGAATCAATAAACTATTAAGCTAGTCTAGTGGATCTTTTTATAGAAAATTAAACAAAATAGGCAAATTAGTGAAACATAATCAAGTGACAATAAAACAATTAATTGTAAATGAAATCAAATAAGTCACGGCAAACAATAGTTACAGAGGGATAGTCCTCTGTGTTCACAGACGAATAATAGATTGATATTTGCATCCAATCGAGTTAACTTAATAATAAATCTACAAAAAACTTACGTAGGCTAATGAGATCTGCAAAACAATTGGTTTGCGATCTGTTTCTCTCGCGTAATTGCGAAATCAAATCTTTCCGCCAGTTGATGTCTTCCCGGGCAACACCGAGCGACACGGCTACTTCGTTTGAGGTCATTTCTCTCGGCAAATCCACGTACACCGTTGAAATAAGAGATCACCAATGATTTAATTTTAATTAGAATCGTTTTAATAAAGAGGTTATAAATATTGTTCTTCGACAATCTGTCACTCCACGATAGTCTCCTCTGCATGTGCGACGAGTAACTCCATCCGGTGAAGTTACGTTCGATCATCAGCTAGTGTGTAATGTGCGAACGTCTCGTGACGATCGCGCGACATTGTCGTATCAAAGCAAAATATTTTAATTATGAAAACAGCTATTCTAACCTAAAAGTACCAAACACTATGCTGCTACTTTGAAATTGTTTGCTATCGCTGTGCGCATCGATACTGCATTACTGTAGATTGCAATCGACATGCTGCTATATTGCGATATATCGATGTGCGTGAATCGATTACTCTTTACTTGAAGATTCGATAACTGTTTTAGAGCCTTGTGTCGATCAGAAAGAAACCTAAGAGAACCATGCCGGCTTTTTTCCTATTACCATCGAAATCCCCCCGTATACTATCGCCAGTACATCTGTTTTCGATTAGAGACATACGTAACTATATCTACTATCTGATTCTGTCGATAAAAGTAGATGTGATTCATGTCTGTACTACATCCACAGGGATGCCTATACTCTCTATATGGATAGTCTGCACGCTTCTATCCTGAATGTAATAGAGATACAATTGTTTTTTTTTCACTAGAAATTTTTAAAAATTTTATTAAAAGTTTAATTTACGCGGTAGTAAGATTTAATTTGAGACGGCATCTTTCCGTCTCCGACACCCACTCGTACGTACACTCATCCATATTTAAAGAAACCTTGCAGGCTTATATTCATATATCTTTTACATATACATACTTAGATTAGTGTTACACAATCTATCTTGCATAGATCCTGTTCATCTTCTTTCTTCTGGCCAGACTCTTTCTTCTGAATCCTTTCATTGCTCCTGACCAATATTCTGGCTTCACATGTCAGAAATCGACAACAAGGAGAAATACTCCTTTTTGTTGCTGATTAATCATCGCCGACATAATCATAAGATTTTACACTTTTGTATGATGCGCGAAATGCGAACGCGTCGCGAAAGAGCTATTATATTAACGAAATCGATTAAAATAAACAACCGTCAAATAAAAATAATTCCATTAAAATTAAATGAACAAATTTCGCGTTTACTCTAGTTTATTAAAAATATATTAAATACATATCCCCGACTAGAAATAAATTTGCATTAAAAAAAAAAATCTTTATGTCAATAGCGTTCCAATTTAAAAGAACTCGATCGCAAATATTATCGATCGCAAATTTCGATTAAACTTTTTATAAAATAAACTTTATTATATAAATAAAACTTTAATTTAAAAATAAACTGAAAATGATTGAATCGATTACTATTCGATAGAATCAAAGACCCATATACGTATTGGCATCGATTCGAATTACGATTCATTGCAGAATCTCATTTCAAAAGCATACGAAAATGAGAAATTCAGATGAATGAGATAAAATCCGAAAGAGACAACAATTTTCCTTTATATTAATTTTCTATGTATCTTGTAATTATTTTTAATCTTGTAAGAATTTTTTGTTTAATGTATCGTTCTAAAATTAAGTATTTTAAAAGATGCAAAACTGAACGAGATTACAAAAATAATTATAATTAAAATTCTTCTATTTCAAGGCAAAATGTATATTGGATCTCACGTCATATTAACTATAAAATCCAGTTAGTTATTAATCACTTTATATGGATAAGTTATAAAAATTTAAGTTAAAGTTGGTGCATTAGAGATGAATATAATAATTAATAATCGTATAATACTTTTCATAAAAAGAGAAATTAACAAATTGTATGAAATATATTTATATGCTACATTGAAATATTATCAATACTAGAAAAATGCCTATTAATGTACGATTGAAGCTGGATCTTCAATCTTTGCTTTCAATAATTCAATCTTGGATTATTAATATATACTATATATGTATTTGCACATATATTATATTGTAATCTTTTTAAAAACTGCAATATATATTTATTATTATTGTATATTAAAATACTTCAAGAAATACTTTCAACTTTATATTTATGCATACAATGTATGTATATGAATGCACTTTATATATGCACTAAATCAAACTCGTATGCACAATAAATTCAATTCTAGGAAGTCTCCAGGATTAAATTTACCTTAATCTGTTCTAATTATTCATTTTAATAGACAATGCATTTGTGAAATTATTAAATTTATTAAAGTTATTAAATTTATGCATCTAGATATACCAATAAAATCATAACAGTAACCAATAAAATCATCACACATTTATTACCTCAATAAAAACATAATTAATTCAACACTCACCGACCCGATACGCAACAGTGGAATTATATCTGCAACGTAGCTACGATGATTCTGTAACATAAATATAAAAATGGACATAACATAAACACCAAATTAAAAATGGACATAACATAAACATAAATAACAATTGTTATTAAAAAAAAATAATTACTATGGAATCGCAGAATTTTCTTAAAAACAATCATGTAGTTTTGAGAATATAATTTTTGTAAGCAACAGATATTTTATTTATCGTTTAATTGGATATTTATGAAAATAAAATTATACGTTCTCTAAAGACATTTGAACAAGAATAAATTTGTAAAAAATTTTAAATTTTGAAGTAATTCCTCTTTTTATAAATTATTATTTTTAAATTATTGTAAAATAAAATTAAGATTTAAGAACGAGCAAATAAAGATTAATTTTACACATGTAAAGAATTTACCGCAAAATTGCTCCATCAGTGCTCGATGACTCTCCCAGACCTCCTCCTTCTTTCAAAATTGGGTTGATATCCTCTAACACAGGACATTCGCATAAAACATTCGCGAATAATACATAATATATAATCGAGTGCGAACTAATTATTTAGAAAAGTCTTTGAACTAGAAATCGACTGAATGAATTTTACTTAAAATTCATTAGTCCAATAACTTGAATGACACTTCCGAAGCAAACGCGCAACGCGAACCAGCTACGGTTCGTTCATTTTCAATTTAATCGGCGACAAGGGTACGTTAGTTTCCCCATCGTTGGATTTTTACATGAAGAGAACGATCTTACTCAAGTATATCTAAAAATTCATCTAGCTGTATATCTTTCAGATCCGAAAATTTGTAGATGCTTAAGGAAAAACTGTTCTTTTCGTGTAATATCCTCCAGATACTGAGTCCTCCTACCACATCAAGGTCGTATCCGTGAGAAGGAAGATATCATTTGAAAAATGTAATATACTATCATCTATATTATTATGCAATTATCGGTTAACATTTAGAAATAAATCAAATACACATCAAATATTCGTCACCACATTGCGAAATAAATTCAAAGTAGATAAAACAATTGAATCATTTATTATGATGTCTATAAGATGTATGATTAAGATGATATATGATTAAGATATATGATTAGAGTTCAATAGAAGAGATGGGTTAGAGATTAGTAGAGAAATATTTCTTTTATTACCGACAAATAGTTTAAAATTACGCTCAATTTTTTATACGGATCATGAAAAATGCATGTAAACGAAAAATTATTTAAATTATTAATTAGACATTCCATTAATTGTGAAAGAATCGCACGAATTGCGTTATTTGCAAAAGAGAGTATTTATTAACATTGCTTTTTTATGACTCGTGTAATATCGTTCGAAATATAATCGAGAAATTATATATATATATATATATATATATATACTCAAGCAACAGTAAAAAATTTCGTTAAACAGAAATAATTCTTTAATGTCATCAACAATTATTGCGAAATTATAACGAATTATGTTTTTTGCACTTTGATTCCAAAATGAAATATCCGTTCCGTGATACATGATCGTTATCTCGATTCTTTTATTAATAATTAATCATGCGAGTTAGTAATCGTATACTATGAGTATTTATAAAGTACAATAATTCATTATATCTATTTTTCGCAATTATGTTCTAAAAAAGAATATAAGAAAGAGCGACACACGACGCAGCTACCTGCCTGTACGAGCCTCAGTAAAGGAATGATTGCGCAGTTACTTCTTATTAATGTGACACGGCGCCGCGCCGTGCCGCGCCACGCCACTCCGTACCACCCCGTGCCATCTCGTGTTTTTCCAGGCCAAAATAATCCCCAAGGCCACGCGCCGATTATCTTATTATGGAAAAATTAATACATATTACAAAGTAAAATAATCTAATCGTTACATTTATATTCTCCGATTAAATAGGTTTTTAGCTTTACTTCTTACATCCGTTACGCACATAATTCACCTATATATTAGATATTTCAAATTATATTACAATAAGCAATTATTAGGCTGCGTTCTACTTAACTTACGCTTGCAACACTCGCGAACATTGTCCTTGTTTAATATTGGATAAACGACAAGGATGAAATGATTCTATCAGCATTGTGAGCGTTAAGTGGAACGCAATCTTAGTTTGTAATAACTAATTTCTGTTACACAAAATCCGTGCAGTGTACAATATTTGAAAAATTGATTTTCTTGCGGCTTTTTGTTATTTTTGTATCATTTAATTTTATCATTCACATTTTATTTCGCATTCTTAATCCGTGAAAAGTAATAGATAAATTCAAATTCACAATGCAATGCGAAGTTTGTTGAATTCTAAGACCCAACTTACTAATCGTAATAAAACATGCAGTGATTTGTAATTCCTGTGCTCTATATGTCTATAATTCTTGCGTATGTATTATGTTCATAATATACATGAATAATGAAATAATAATTCGCTGTATATCGCAAATACGCAAGACCAACCGAAATATTTAATTCTTTGTAACATTAATTTATGCCAAATATTCTGCTTCTTACATTCCAAATTAATTTTGCTTATTATAGGATATTAAACTGAATTTATTTAAAACAATATAATTTTCTTTTCAAAGCGTAAAATTTTGGCACAAAATAATACTGATAAAATAACTAAAATTAATTAATATTTCTTAAATACTTTTGATTAATACTTTTTGATTAAATAAGACTGTACTCTTTATATTGAATTTAGTATCTTACGATAAGCAAAATAAATCTGCAATGTAAGAAGCAGAATATTTGACACTAATCTACATTATAAAAAATTAAATATTTCGGTTGGCATAGTCTTGTTACATGATTGCATTATACAATACACTATTATTTCATTACTTATTCATCAGAAAGAAAATATGTATGCGACAGAATCACGGATACATAGAATACAGAAATTATACAAATCACTGTTCTATTTAAATTAGCACC